TAATCAACTTTTAGTCTATGTGAAACGTGTTCTACGATTTCGACACTTGCTATAGAACTCCTTATTTAATCTGCAAAACATACAGTCTATTGTCTACTACAATAAGACTGGATCCAAAGTGAGGCTGGCAGGTTTTTGCTTTCACTTCCCATTCATTCTTTACTGGATCAAAACAATTTAGTACTGCTGGGGAAAAATACTCAGATGGCAACTGCCATCTATTTTCATAAAGTACAAATAATTTTGAATGGATTATTACTCCACTTTTGCCGGGGCAATATTTACTACCTCTTGTACCTACTAGTGCAATACTCTGCCATTGACGTTTGGCAAAGCTGTATCTTTGAGGAACTTGATTTGAAATAGCACTACTTGCATACATGTGATCATCAATAACACATAAGTTATTGATTGCACCACATGAGTGTGGCAGCCTTTCCCACACATTTCCTTCTGTGCCATACTGAAAAATGCAAAAACCCGAGGAGTCAAATCCGGCAACAAACATATTGCTGCCGCCAACAGAAACTGCAGAATAGCACTGAGTTGCTTCGACTGGTATTGTGGATGCCAAAGGCTTCCATTTTTTGGCTTGAACATCAAAATACTGCATCTGCACCTTAGGCTGAACTGCAATGAGAACCTGAAATACAACGTAAAAGAAAAAATATCAAATAGAAAACGAAAACTAACCTATACTGAGGTTCAGAACGGCTTCGCTTCAACGTGAATTCCTCATGTGAAATGAGTAAACCAAATTACTTTGTGCATTCAATTCGTGTAAGTTTGACATAGTTAGCTTACTTGAAGACAAAGAACGGTTTAATTACCGGGCTTGTTGATCGTGGTTTACTTTTCTCCTCTGCAAATTTGGAGTTACGTAAAGGAGCGTTGTTATAGATTAGCGTTTCATACACCAGCATGTGAATCTGTGGATCTTGTTGCATTTCCTCTGTATTCAGTTCTTCAATCACAACCCCGATGTCCACCAGCCCCAGACGAACAGCTCCGATAACTTTGGCTGCAACTGCCATCCTCTCTTCCTTCTTG